TGTATGCAGTGTTGGGGTAAGGGGGGGAAATGTGGACGTATGGGTGTGTCTGTTACGTGATCTCTCTTGTGTGTGACCTGTATTTGTGCGTCCACACTTAACTGCGTGCATGGCATGATGTGGGTCTACTGTAATTCAGTACACGTGAACGTCCTCTAAATATAAAGCTGTGGAGAGCTACAGTATACCTCTGCTCTGTGTTTCCAAAACAAGTTCAACATTTTCAGACGCTTCTAAAACAGGAGTGTCACTGTCACAGCCAAACTATGGTACACACACACGCACCATGAGCCCAGTGTATATATAACCCGCTCAGTAATTAGCCCTCATGGAGTAACCTTTAGCCTTAATGTCATCCTGTATGACAAATGAAGTAGCAGCAGCGGCAACATGAAGAGTGGTCATTACTGTGTTGAGGCGTCTCCTGGAGGAGGAGACATGGCATGCGTCTCGGCTCGGCTCGCTGATCTGGGTTCTGTCCCCCCAGAGGCATTTAAGACCATCGTTATCTTTGTTGTTTTTTGCTTTCCAATGGAAAAAAGATGTTTTTGGATGTTAACAACAAACTGCTGTCATAGGCCAAAACTAAAATAATCGTCTTGAACTTTAAGAGATGTCAAATTCTACTTTACTGTCTAAAGAATATGTAAAAAATCCAATGCAAAACACACTTGATTTTACAAAAAATCTAATCATCATTCAAGAATAACACCAAAACTTGATTCTTAAACCTTAAACTACCAAATTCTTTTGATGTAAGAATTCAATATTTGGGAAAATAGGTAAGTTCTGTGTCTGTGCACTAAATATGAAGCTAAGATAAATAAAACTATATGTGTTCACTATTTTGTGACATCTAATTGTCTATAGATTTCCTTTAACAATAGCTCAGTACCACTATTAAAGCTGAAACAAATTCTACAATCACCATGGGCCCGTTTTTATCATGTGTACAGGTGCATATGATATTGTAGCCAATGGCTCTATCCAATGAATATGTAGCTGTATGCTTTAGAATAAAGGACAGTGTGTTCAAGGATGACCAACATTAGGGTCCACTGTCCTGATCGCAACATTTAAGGTCAGAAATGCTGCTCTGGATGTGACCATGAGAAATAGTTCCTTTATGAAAGAGGAGTTTCAAAAAGAACTGATAAGAATATTGAATTTAGAGACTGGGTTCCTCCCCTACTTCTTCACCATTCCAAGGGAGGATGGCTCAGCGGTGCAGATAGTGCCCGTGCATCGACTCTCTCCTTCCTGCTACATACTGATTCATTAAAGCCGTGTTTTGTTCTATTCCTCAAAGTGACAGGCAGTCCAGTCACTCCTCGCCCTCCCTGAGATCTCTCCATTCACACCTGCTCAGATGCCCAATGAAAACATGAGGCAGGGAGGCCTCGCCATCGCATTTTATGATACCTGCACGTCCAGCACACACTCCCATGGGCTGTATCTTCTCCCTCTGTTCTGATAACTTAATGCAGACTCATCATACTCTGACATGTGGAGCACACACACACACACACACACACACACACGTGTAGAGTAGTTCATCCAATTTTGCTTATTTCTGGTGTATTTTCTGATCCAGCTGATTAGTTGGAAAATTGCCTCACATCTAAAATGTTTCAAAGGTGACTTGTTTAAGCTACATTTTCACTTATTAGAAACATTAACATTTCAGATTTTTGCTCTCAATCCAGAAAATTAAGGATGTAATTACATATAATCTCAAACTGGTGTATTTTCAGGAAATTCTATCAACAGTTTGTTGACTTGTCAGACGCTCTTTTCTCTTGGTGGTGGATACAGTCGCTGTAGAATTCTAATACCTCCTATTACAACTAGGAGCCTGGCATGACCAGTATTCCCAACTTGGCTGCCTGTGAATACTGAATGATGTTAGCTGGTGAAAGTGAGCCATCATGCACCACAACAGTCCCCTGAAACCAAAGCAGATCAGTTGAATTCATCCTTCATTTTATCATGCACACATTTATTTCTTGTCGTGACGATGAGTCGATGAATAAAAATGTAAAACAGTTCATCATTAGCCTGCACGACAGGAACATGCCGTGATTTCATGCAGTTTCAATGACAACACTTTCACACTGACATAAAATGATTGAATGAAAATAACAGAAACATCAAATGTAAAACAGACTTAATATCACTTGTGAACGTGCTTCAACAATTTTTTATAAATCCTGCTTAAGATATTATAATCTTCCGTAATAATGATGCCCTCACAGAAACTGCTGAGCAAATTCATTATTTCATGGACTGATGAGCATTAGTCAGACTGTTTTTTAAAACCAACATTACTGTGGTTAGCCTGTATTATAATTGTTTAACATTCTGTAAACTCTGCTTGTTGCCTTTATGCTGAGCGTGAGCTGTGAAGACTGATGCTTGTGTCTGTCCAGTCAACATGAACTTCAGCCAACATGGCTCCGTCTACAGGGAGGCTCAACAGATAATATTTACTGCTGGGACCAGATACTTTGTCTCTGATCGTGGCCTGGAAACATCACAGTGTTGACAAGACTCAATTTGTCATTTTTACATGTTTTTTTAATATATAAATGTAATTAATGAATAGATTTAAAGTTATTAATAGAAATGTTTTAATACATTTGGCTTGAACAAATAAGCTAGATGCTTGCACTTGATTCTTCCTCCTGCTCATCAGTCTCTTAGTACTAACCCTACCTCTACTCTCTGTGTCCACATTATGTTTTTAATACTTGGCTGTGGAGACTTAAAGCACAGTCTTTAGTTCCTCACTGGGGTTCTGCCTCCACTGTGTTCAATACAGTCCTCTGTCTCTCCATGATGTGAATAAGTGCCAGCAGACTGAGTCGTAGCGTTCCCATCTATTTCTATCTCTGTGTGGTTTGGCCGCTGCGAGTCTGACCCGCAGCCTTTCTAATTTGGTGATGAGCTGTAAAGTGACCTGCCTGCCCCCGCAGCCGGGCGGCCACAGCGAGAGTGGGATTCCAGGGATTTCCTTACCCGGAGGTCTCTCGGGTTGGACGGACGTTACTGTATACACACCCCAGCCATGTCACACACCTCCACCCTTTCCTCCTGGGACCCATGGTGAGACTAAGGTACTATAGCTCTCAAGTGCACCTCAGTATTGTCCCCCACACCCACTGTGCCCCTGAGTAAACTGAGATGCCAGGAATAATTGATGACAATGTAGGCCATGGTATCTGGGCATGATATCTGCACACACTCTCACCCACCTCCCACTGAGGGTACTGTCGTGCCATCTCCATTTGCACTAATTGGTTTGAACTCACTGCTGACTTACCCTTTTTATGTATGTCATTAAGTGCTTATATATTTGATATATCTCATTAGTGGAATAAATACATCAGTAATCCTCTGTCACACTCAGTCCAAAATATTGTGTGTCATTTATTATAATGTGAGTACGATATTATACCATTGGAGGTGAGAATGTTTTAAAAGGTTTCCCCCCAAATATTTTAATGGAGTTGTGCAAAAAGAAACCTAATGCATAGAGATTGTTTCCCTTCGAATTTTTTAATGTGAAGTGAATGTTGTTTTCTAATTTTGGGGATTTGCTTGCTTGGACAAATCCATAATTTAGGTTTCAAACCCACTACATGCTCTGCTCCCTCTCCCATTGATCCACCTGTACGCCTTATTGTTTCATTTCAGAGTGCAGGGGGACTGTCTGAATCTAATCCACGGTCACAGAAGAGGTTTAAAACACTCTGGTTTCATCTAATCTTCCAGCTCAGACCCAGCCGAGCTTGAAACCCGCTTTCTCCATGATAGGAATGGACAAATAAAGGTTTCTCCCAGCACTGGCATGAAAGGGCTCTGTGTGCTCTGTGGATTAAGGTCTGTGTTTTCTCTGTCTCTTTTTCTCAATTAGACTGAAAAGGCTGAAAAAATAAAGGCACTTCTGTTCATGCCATATCACAAGGCTTTGCAGGTTTTATACTAAAGGCTCACTGATGATGTTTTTTTATGAAGTTAGAATGTGTTGTAGGTTGTAGCCCACAATAGACATATAGGAATTCTATTGGGTTGTATTAAATAGAAAACATTTGAAGTGAAAATCGACACTCATCTTAATGATTTTTAATTGTATATCAGATGGCTGTACAGTGCGATTCAATCACACACACACCAAGTCTTTGCTTCTCTATTTCAGTGTTTTTGTAGTCTCATATTTTTTCTTTGCAAAGAAACACTGTAGAAATACAATAATAGTGAACACACACACATACATGCACACAGGCTGGTAGTCCCACAAATGGAGAAGGTGAATTAGACTAGGAAGACAGAATATGTTGTTAGTGTTCGACAGGTGAGGGTGAGGCAGAGATGGACTTTCTCCTTAATGTAAATCACTCAATAAAATAAGAAACCTTTACTTTACCCAGTGAAATTCTGTTTAGAATTTCAGTGACATCTAAACATTGAAAATACTTGTAGGACAAGGAAAAGTGTCAGAATCACGCTGCCTTATATGTAGTGACGGACAATCCTGTCACTCAGATGAGCCTGTGAGACTTAGGACACATGGACATCACACACACACACACTCCCTCACTAATACTGATAACTTATGCATGCTCTGCACACACACACGCACACACACACGCATGCATATAATTGATAT